TCTCTCTCTCTCTCTCTCTCCCTCTCTCTCTCTCTCTCTCTCTCTCTCTCTCTCTCTCTCTCTCTGACACACTCTTTTACTTCCATATTCTCTCTATTCTTGTGCATAGTTAAGACGTCATTTACAGCTCCGATCGTTCGTATACATGTGCTGCATACTTTCTTCTCTGTTTCTATTTTTCTTGCATACGCTCTCTCACGATGTCGTTTTTTCAATTCTCACGCTTTTTCCACTTTACCTATTACGCAGAGTTGCACATTTTTTAAGCTCAGCATTATTTATCATTTGTAGTTTCATACGAAAGATTGTTATTGTCTTATTTCATTATCCTCTAAATTTTATTTACGCAAATTTTTAATGTTCAAAGTTTTTGTTCGATTAATATGAAAATTGAAAAACCAAATATCTTAGTAGTGCTAATTTATATTTAAACTTCAATTAAATATGTTAATATTTGCAATAATTTTCTCGATATTGCTAATGATTAATAAGTTTTATTTAATACTTCTTTTATTAAATATTTAATGCAATGCGGTTACATATAATGTAATATCCATTTTTTAATAATATTTGCGAATCAATGTTTTTATAACGACAAAAATTAAATCTGTTATTTTTAATTTTAATGTATATATACAAGAAAATCTAAGCAATTATAAAAAGTTAAAAGATTTTTATAAGACAAAATTCTGTAATAAAAAAATTATTATATAGGATATTATATTGCTTGTTTATTATTATTCATAACGATGATGTATTTCTATTTATTCTTCACAATTTTTTTGTAAAGAATATTGATCAAAAATCTGTTTTGGTAAAAAAAATTATTAAATGTAGTAATACTATAATTTAATAGTACTATAATTTTAAATACTACAATTTAAAAATAAATTGTAATAATTATAAAGCATATACTTAATTTTTTCTAACATTTTAAAATTATTTGATAATGAATGAATTCATATGTTAACAGCTATAAATATTATCATAATAAGAAAAATCATTATCATTTTATGAATTCAACTATTTATTATTCATATATACATTCATTCATCGATTGTAACTCATTTTACGTATTTTTAGTATGAAAATATTGTATTTGCAAATTCATATTTTCAATTCAAATTTAAGTTATATGTAAAATATTTATATTTTACATTCAGATTGTTACAATCACAAAATTGCAGTGATTATAAATTTCGTGTTTTATTACTGAATTAGAAAACATATTTTAATTTCTGTCAATAATGTAAAATCTATTATTAATTTCTAAAATTATAGCGTTAGACTTACCTTGAGAGATAATATTAAATTTTCTTTATATTTTAATAATATATGTAAAAAAGAAAAGACTGAAAGTATTGAATATTTATTTTTAATTTTCTGTATTGTATTTTAAATTATAAAATTATATGATATATTTGCATAATGAATGTACTTGAACTATTGAAATATTTAAATTCATAAATACATCAATTTAACGATTATATATATATATATATGACATAAAGAAAACAGAAGTAAAAACTTTGATGAATATTACATTAAGAATTATTTTATAAATAAACTATAAAATAGTCCATCTACAATATTTTTTTATAAAGGATAATTTTTAACATAAGTTTTATCTAAAGTAATATCTTCAAAGATATTTGTTTGCTATATAAATATAATTGTAAAATTACATTTTATAGCATCAAAATGTAACTGGTATAATTTAAACTATAATTTTATGCAATTACATTAATAGTATATGTATAAAATAAAAATTATAAGAATAGGAATTTTGAAATAATTTTTATAGAATACTTTTTGGTATTTTGTAGAAGTATAAATATATTATAAATACTTCATTTTATTTAGTTTTCTAAATACATGATATACTTGCTTATTTAAATTTTTATTTTATACTATTCTAATTATAATATTCACATTCATTGTTTGAAATATTTATTTGAACTTATTATTAATATGGCACTTTTAATCTTAAATTACATAATAATTACTTATGAATGTAAGCAACTATAGTTAAAAATATTTGAATTATATTAATTAAAATATAAAGTATTTCTTCACAAGAGAAAATTATATATGAATATAGTAATTATTATTTAATCATTAGGATTAACAAAACTTTTTAGATTAGAAAATAATGTTTCTAATCAACATGTAAATAATTATATTAATAATAGACATCTCTTTACATTTTAACATATTTTATAATAAATACAATACATTTGCATTTGTTGTATAATTGATTTCGATTATTTATAATTTTGAAATATTTCTTCATAGATTATTTTCTGATTTTTCAAAATTATTAGATTTTGTGTTTTTTATAAATAATTCTTATTTAAAAAAAATTTAGTATGTAACGCTATTTAAATTATATAAATTCTCTGTTTTCTGGAAGACTTGAAAAGATGAATTCGTTATATATATATATATATATATATATATATATATATATATATTTTGCTTGAATCGTCTTTCAAATTTAGATGTGAAATAGTTAATCAACTTACGAACCCCAGAGTTTATAGGAAAAGTGAGGAAGTTAGACATCTTTCATTTTAAATTGGATGAGTCTGCGATCATGTTTGCATACCACGTAAAACTTCGTTTTAAACTGTTACTATTCGATACTAGAACTTCCAAGTCGAGAATGATGTTGCACCGAATAATTCTTTATCCGTCTTTATTTGCATATGGCTACAATTTTTCAGCTATAAGTATGTGCATACTCACGTGTAAATTATGAAATATTTAATTAGAATTAGTAATGGACGTATGCTTTTAATGAAAATATTTTGTCGAACTTCCTGAATTAATTAAACTATATATATGTATAATTAATTCCAAGTAGATTTTTTTCCCATATATACAGTTTATAGTTTTTATTGTAGTATACTTTTAAAAAGTTGTATATTTAGCTATTTGGATCATATTACAAGCATTCGAATACATCACTAATTATACTCAAAAACGTTAAAGCATTTTGCATTTTATGTCTTTTGAATATTTAAATAAATTCAATATCTTAAAGAATAGATAAGAATAAAGTACATTTTTGTTAATATTTTTACATCCGAATCGTACCATATTATTCATTAAAAAAATATTTAGGCAGGTCGTCTTTATATGATTATCTGGAAAATTTATTTTATTTATTTCAAGTATCAATAAATACATTAACAATAGAACGATAATAATAATAATTAATATCATATGGCAAAGACATGGATATTATCCCTTTTTTATTAATCTCTTTTCTTTAATGTTAAATATAACAAAATGAATTTATTAGATATTCTAAAGACTATTACGAATTATATGATTAATAATTATTTCTCTGAAAATTTATATGATATTAAATGATATATTAAGTAAGTCTATTCGTTTATATATCTTATTATTCTCTTCAGTTTTCCTTAAAAATAAGAAATTATTATAGTATGGACCATATACGTTATAATGGATACACCAATTTTGTTACATTGTATATTCCATAACCATCGTACAACTACATTAGAGCTAACAAGTATCGCTTGCCCGCGTGGTGTGAAAGAAATAACTTAAAACTCCATATAGCAAAGAGCAATGTCGGAGCGCCTGTTTCTCTCAGGCATAACCGCGCAAAATTTAACGGCTTCCGTGACTGGAAGAAGGCGAGCCACTGCGGTTCTCATGAGACAATGTCTTCGCGTTGATACGTGGCAATTTATCGAGGAAATGAGAAACCCGGTATTATTCATGACGATGTGGATTCGCTTTTCGCGATGACAGAGCAAGGCACGCATTTCTAAACACGTAGCCTCCTCATAATAAATATTTTACTCGCAAAAAAATAATCTTATGTATTACATCTTGTAATAAATTGGTTATTTATTTGTAAATAAGATTTGCCAATTACTTCATGATCAAAAATATTTTCGATGGTATTATTTATTGCATAATAAATAGTTAAAAATATTTTACTTAAGATTGTATTATATTTTATATTATTGATAACATTATAATAAAAACGTTATTATTGAGAAAAGGGAATTTCTAAATTGATATTTTTAAAATATAAATCTGTAAGTTAGAAATAATAAAGTAAGTTAGACCTAATAAATTCGGTTCAATAAGTTAGAACATTGAATAATAAGAACTCATTAGATTAAAATATGCTTATAAAAATCATTATATATTTATTAAGTATAATCTTATTGTATATCTTATTTAAAAAATAATGCTAACGTTAAAATTGTACTGTGTGCGTGAAAATATTCAAGCACCAAGCAAAATTTATCTTATTAATCAAAATACTCATTGGTTGCCCTAGAATAAGATAATTTGAAATATTAATAAATATAATAAAATTATAGTACATAAGAAATATCTTAAATTGATTTAGAAAGAATCTATCGAGACATATGATTAAGTATGGAAAGTATTTTAATAAAATATGTGGATTGATTGTACTTAGATTTAATTGTCTGTAAATATTATTTTATACGTAATTAAATTGATTAAATCTTAGCTCTTCTAGAACTTCAAATTATTTATAGTATTGAAAAGCAATAAAAAGTATATATATTAAAAAAATTTAGTTTGTGATAAATCTAAATATATCTCATTTATATTAAATTCACCTAGAAAATATGGTTATTGAAGAATGTATTTGCAATATTTTAGTAAATAGTATCATGTTTATTGCCCATCACAATGTGCCTTAATTATTCGAATAAACGTTTGTATATCAAAGTAAATTGCATAGTTATGTTCTTAAGATTTATCTAAATCTATCTAAAGTTTATCCAATTTATCTAAAGCTAATCTAATTTTAAAAAAAAATCTATCTAAAACTAATTATTTATATTTAGATGTACAATTTTTCAGTTTACACTTTCATATAATATGAATATTTTCTATATACCAAAAATACGGAAATGATATTTCTTAAGATAATAATTTTATCATCTTTTAATTTATTATAACAGTGAATAATGTATGACATATTGAATATCATATAACTACAATTAATTATAATTACATATGTAAATAGATGCTAATAAGATAATATTAATCAGGGGAAAAACTATTTGTTATTAAAATTCTACGGTTCTTTTCCGATCATTATTCCATTAACAAGTTAAGAATAAGAAAAACTTAAAATTAAAATTAAAATAATACTTAAATTTCTCTAAAAATGTATAGAATATTTGATTTATAAAATTAGTTAATTGACTATCAATTATTAAAATATAATAATTACTAACTGTTTTAAAAATAATTTTTAC